CACTCTTTGTTCCTTCTGGTCGGCCATCTCACTAATCGCCAAAGGGTTGAAACAGGAACGCACACAACAGAGCACCACAGACAAACCACTTAACTCAGACTGACGCCAGCTCACTAACAGTCGCGGGAGACCCCCAGCTAACACCACCTAGCAGCACAACTCGTAACTACATAGCATGTGCGCGCAACAGGTCGGTTCCGGTTATTTTTGGGTCCCCCATCGTATAGCTTGGTAGTGCCATTTTGCTTCTGTGGCCATACTTGTCAGCAGCAGAAGTTTTCGTTATAACATTATCCTGGAATGCACTGGATGGCATAGTAACAGCTCTACTGGTATTCTGCTCTTCACTGGTAACTTTAAGATACATACAACAGTAGATCCATGCAGTTATTGAAAGATGGAAGAGGATGTGCATTATGTCACTGTTCATACAGGTGTCACAGGAGAGAGACAACACAACAAAGTGACAACTGTATGTTGCAAGGAAAATGGTATGCTACAATTTGTGCTGCTCTGGGATATTCGGGGTGTGAAGTTACAAGGTTAATATAAAAGCTAACTATACATTTGGTTTACCCTTATTTTATGAATGTCTTTGTTAAGTGATATGATGTTACATTTTCAGCTTGTAAGCAATGCTTTGCAGTTTCTGGCAACCGTTGCAGACCGAACCCATTATGGATATCTGTTTGAAGATGTGAATGTCCTCACCAGTATATGTGAGAAGGTTATCATCCCAAATATGGCCTTCAGAGGTAAGAAATGTGATTGAAGTAAGATGTGCTTCCTGATCATGCCAAAACTGTCAAGAAGTTTCAATAATTTCTTTGAAATATTTCTCGTTTTTATGGACTTTATTCCATATCAACATCAGCATCACCTCCTCTTCGTTCTCTTCCTCTTTATCCTTATCTTTTTGTCTTCTTACTGAACATTGTAACCTAGTGGGTAGCACTGCTTTTTATAATTTGGGAGTGCCCACATTCAAATCTTCGCCTGGAGACTTGCTACCCTGGCAGATGTGTCATGGTTTTCCTCATCCCTTCAGGCACATGCAGGGATACAGTTTCAACTTAGACCAATACTGCTGCCTTCCACATCTTTCTGAAAATTATTTTACACTGATCATCACATCATCCAATACTATTTTGTTTGAGCTGCTGACATCATGTCATAAAAATAATGTAGAAGCTGTCCCTGTAATAGGCCTTGGAGGCCCATATGCTCCCACTTTTTCTAGACAATCAACTCACAGATGGTGGTAAGGTTGTTAGCCTTATGCACCAGCTGCCCTTTACCTCTAGAAAGATTATTGGTACTCATTTCTGTTAGAAGCTGAGTTGACCCAAGGGCCACAATGCAGCTGGAAGGATTAGATCGATTAAAAATTCCAATGACCTTATTGGGAATCAAACCTGTGACCTTCCAGCTTGTGGCTATAAGTAAATAATTTATTATTCTGTCTTCTGAAAACTGGTATGCAAACCTTAATTTTAATCCAAAGTTTGAAGTTTGCCAATATGTTGCCCATAACATCTCACATAAATTAGTAATTACAATTGTGCAAATATTGCCAAACAGTTTGATTTCAATAAGTGAGACCTTGTAAAGGTAGGACTTCAATTGCCCTGTGCTGTGAATGTGTCGAAAATAAAGGGTGTTCAGTGATTGAGGAAACCTGGCAGCAGCATGGATCTAACATAACATTTCTCACAGATTGCTGCTGTAACTGCCAATAGTGGAATGAGTCATTAGGGCTGATAAATGCGTGCCCTCTCACTCGTGTTGTGCAGACAGAACGTTTCTCCATGACTACTGTGCCCTTCCCTGCTGGCGAGAGTGCAGTTGTGTCACTGATTCCCTCACATCAATTTCTGTACATGCACACATTTATAAGTACACTGTTAAAAGATAACACAAACTTACCATGCTTTATAACAGGTGCTGAAAGTGACCCTCTTATACTTGCAAATATGCCTCACATCGCATAAATAAATTATGCAACACTTTCTGAAGTTGGTCTGTGGTAATTGAACCAATTATGCATCTTATTCCATTCTGATGAGCTTCAGTGCTGCTAGGATTATTCTCGTAGACTTTTCCCTTTAGGTTCCACAAAGATAACAATTACAAGAACTGAGATCTGGAGGACACAGTCCCCTGCTGATTATTCTGTCTTCAAACACTTCCCGTATTGTGACCGTAGTTGCATTAGCCATATGTGCTGTATCATTGTCTTGCTGAAAATACCCATATTGTCTTTCTTCAGCAGTTAGCTGATTAAAGAACGAATTCAGTATACCATTAACACAGCAGTCAGAGAGTTCTCAATTTCGTGGAAAAATTAGGGCAATTTGTCGCGGACTTAACAGCACACCACACCCCCACCTTTTCACTATGTAATGGCACTTGCTGTATAGCGTGAGGATTTTCATTGCTCCATATTCATACATTTTGTGCATTGACATGACCACTAACATGAAACTACGCTTCATCCGTCATGAACAGTAGCTGTGGATCCACGATTCCATCCTGCACATTTTGCAGTAGCCAGTTGCAAAAACGAATTCTTGCTGCATATTCTGGCTGTTTCAGCTCATGCACAACTCTTATTTTATACGGGTGAAATTTAATTAATTTTATGACTGTGGAAGCAGATTCTAGTGAAACCCTGGATTCCTGTGCTAAGCGTCTTAATGATTTTCAAGGACTGATCTGTAGTTGTGTCTCAATATCCCGAACCTTTTCTTGAATGAGCTCAATGCTCTTCGATTGCTTCTTTGTGTCATACTTAAACCTGTGGCTCTGTCACTTTTCCACAAGCTTGGATACACACGATTTTGTGGGAACTGGTGAGTCTGGATATCTATGATGAAACTTAACTGGATACAGTTTCTGTAAGCTTTTTCCTTGCAAAAATTATGACAGTAAACACATGCTGTTCAGAAGTGAACTTCATTTCAGTATAAATGTCAACCGCCTATCGACACCTCTAAAACAGACTGACTATTAATGCGATTTATTGCAGTGACAAGGTCAGACCACCTGATGGCGGATTTTTATCAGTCATAGTGACTCATTCTGCTATTGGGAGTTACAGCAGCGGCAATCTGTGAGAAATGTTGTGCCCACTCCACTCTGTTGCCAGGTTTCCTTGCTCATTGAATGCCCTTTATAACAGTGAATATCCACACATTCTAAATTTTGGCAATACAGAGAGATTGGTTGGTGGCTACAATTGTAACCACTCTTTCCTGTACTTGGTACATATTGGGTAGGAGGCTGGGTGGACCCCAGAGTAAGTATTGACATGAAGGTGAAAAGAATTCCTGCACTTGCTGAAAATCAAATGATGCTCATTCAGAATTCAGCAGATCATCCCAGCGAAAATCTCATAGATGTGCATATTCTTTGATATCATTTTAGTATGTTTAAACAAAATATCACATACTGGTTTCAGGGTTCTCACAACACTAATTGCTTAAATTGTAGTCTTCTTGGTTGCCACAGTGTATAGTCTTGTAGGTGGATTCTGCAATTTCAGAGGAATATTCTGCCTCAAGATTCAGGTTTGAAGAGTATAGTGTGAGGAAGTTGTTCTGTTGCATAGACAGTTTACAAGGAAGTTGGTCACTCAGACCCTTGTGGGCGGGTAAAGAAAATGGGCCCAAGCTGTTTCCTTACTCACTCCTAAGGGTCTGAGTGGCCAATTCACTTGCATCCTACCTGTATATCTGAACAAATTCATCACCTTACACAGGCCAGTGAAATATAACTTCGGACCATATTAAATTTAAATCATTGTAAACATTCACTGCTGCTTTAAGGGTAATCTGGTGTTTAATGCTAACCTCAGTATTTGCATATATGAAAATCAAATTCAGGAGCAGTTTTTTCACTGAGCCTATTGGTGGAATTTAGTAGTGCCTTTCAGTGAACAGCAGGTGCTTCCTGTGCTATATTGGATGTGTATGGAATACAGTCATAAATATTTTTAGTGCATGTTCTTACTATAGTTTCAGATGAGGAGTTGTTTGTAGATAACGCAGAAGAATATATCCGTCGGGATATTGAGGGTTCAGATGTGGATACAAGACGGAGAGCAGCTTGCGATCTGGTCAGAGTTTTATCACGATACTTTGAAGGGAAAATAACAGAAATTTTCGGCTCCTATGTGCAAGTATGTACCCTTATTTTATTCAGATAGTTAGATACTACTCCTTACCCTCTACCTCATTTAATTTCTTGAGGTTGAACCTCTCCATATGAACTCTGTGCATTGTTTGTTGGCTCACTGCCAGTCTTTCCCTAAACTTTGCCTCCACCAGGTAGTGGTCAGTATCACAGTCTGCTGCCCTAAACGGTCTGACATCAAGTGTACTTGAATCTCATCTCCTGTATATCAAAATATGGTCAATTTGGTTGTGCATCTCTCCAAGTAAATTTATGAATGTTACGATGTGAGAACATCATTCTTTTGACAATAAAATTTTTAGATGTGGCAAAGTTTGCTACTCTGACTCCATTATCATTACTAATTTCATACAAACTCTCATTCCCAATTGTTGATTTGAAAATGTCCACTGCCCTGAACGATCGGACATTAAGTATACTTGAATGCCATCGCCTGTCTCTCAAAATATGGTCAATTTGGTTGTGCATCTTTCCGTCAGTAGATGTCCAAGTAAATTTATGAATGTTATGATGTGGGAATATTTTACTTTTGGCAGTAAGATTTTTGGATGTGGCATAGTTTACTACTCAACTCCAATATCATTACCAATTCATGTAAACTCCCATTTCCAATTACTGGTTTGAAATTGTCTTCCCAATCTACTTTGGCAGTGAAACCTCCTAACAAAATATTCATGTGGCATTTATTGATTTTATCAATTACATGTTCTATTTCTATGTAGAACCTGTCCTTCAAGTCAACAACTACAGCAACCTTATTTTCAAATTTAAGCAAAAAAGTTTGTTACTTAGATAGGGTTACACTCTGCTACATGATCTAAATTGCATTTGGTTGAACATGCACTACCTAAATATGATATTAGATATGCAGGACTTGCAGTCTGTGCACTAGGAATGCTATATTGTAGTGTTCTGAAAAATGTATATAATATGTTTCCTTCCAGAATTACTTTCATAAAATTGTAAATAGTATTCATGTCTATATTGCATGGGTGTACCTCAGAATGTGGACACGTTTGTTTATGGATTTAGTCTCATGTAGAGTCGTTTCCAACCCATCTATAATGTACTGTAAGTTCATATGAGAGGCCAAAATGCCGATTAAGTTAAACTGTGAATTGGAAATGCAGTTTTATAAATAAAGATCATATTTGCACATGATTTGTTGCATAAAGGAGGCTATTGTTGGGACTTGGGTTTCAATTCCTGCCTAGGACATGGATTTTTATGTAATTTTTCATCACTGAAAATCATTGTAGTTTCCACCATAATCCCCCACAGATTTGGCAGGGGGGTGTATCAGGGGGCAGGCCTCAATATGAATAAAGGATTACCACTTAACCCTTGGATGTTACTGAGTGACTCTTTGTAATTCTAGTAGAATACCTTGAGAAAACGACTTGTCTCTCTTGTAGTGATATGTTTTATCTTTTTTAAGGTCATGCTTCAAAAGTATGAAGAGGCGCCAGTGCAGAACTGGAGAGACAAGGACACAGTACTGTATCTAGTGACTTCACTGGCATCTAAAGGTCAAACACAACGACATGGTACCACTCAAACAAATCAGCTTGTTGATTTGACTTCTTTCACTACTGAACATGTCTTACCTGAACTTCAGAAGGATGCTTGTATGTACATAACAAACAACATTATGTTATAGTATTTTTGAGAATTGAAAAACATGTTTGGATGCATTTGTATACAAACATTATATATCTGACTTGTTTTTTATACTGAAGTCAATTCTCTCTGTGAAGATAGTTAAACTAGGTACAGGTATTTCTCCTCAGTTAATGCTTGCTACCATTCAGTCCAGAACCTTTTGTCTTTTCGTCTGGTGTCCAAAAACATAAAAATTAGAATATAAAAAACTAATTTTGCCTGTGGTGCTGTATGCGTGTGAAACTTAGTCTCTGACATTAAGGGAGGAACATAGACTGAGGATGTTTGAGAAAAGGGTGTTGAGGAGAATATTTGGACCGAAGAGGGAGGAAGTGACAGGAGATTGGAGAAAACTGCGTAATGAGGAGCTTCATAACTTTTACTCTTCTCCAAGTATAATTATAATGACCAAGTCAAGGAGGATGAGGTGGGCAGGCCATGTAGCACAAATAGGGGAGAAAAAGAATGCATATAGGACATTGGTGGGAAAGCCAGAAGGAGAGAGACCACGGGGAAGACCAGGGTGTAGTTGGGTGATCAATATTAAAATTGGTCTTAGAGGGATAGGATGGGATGATATGAATTGGATTGATCTGGCTTGGCATAGGGACCAGTGAGGCTAGCTCTTTCTAAGGGACCCAACAGAATAGGTGTTTTTCCTCACCTGAGGACGGAAGCAGATCCAGTTTCCGAAACGTCGTGTTTTTCTTAGTTATCTTAAAAACTAGGACGATGGATAAAGTCCGAAAACCCAATATCTCTGTGTGTTATACACCATCGTCAGAATCCTATAGTAACTAATCCTCCAATGGGTTTTGTTTGAACAGCCCTCATATCTTCTTCAGAATGGTTTAAATTAGATCAGTGGTACAAACTTACAGAAAATGTGAAGAGCTCAAACTTGGATATAATTCAGCTGCTGCCCCCTTTATCAGAGTTGAAGAGTAAGCCAAGAAAGAAACTAGCATGATGCTCTACTTACTGGCTTACTCTTGAACCCTGAAGATGAAGGTAACATGTTCCCTTTAATCTTTGGTTGACTATACGGAATTACATACCAGAAAATATATGAGGGTCATACTGAAAGTAATGAGCAACAATTTTTTGTAAAGTAGCATGCTTTATTATTGACAAACCAAATATACCACCTCAATCTACAGACCTTTCTTTATTTTTCCACATAAGCGCCACTTCTTTGTACACATTTTTCCTAGTGTTCTGGGAGTTTGAAAATTCCCCTTCTGTAAAATTCCATTCCAGCCATCCGAAGACACTGACACACTGCTTTCTGAATTGCCTCCCTTGTCTCAAAACGTTCACGCAGCTGATCCTTCACAAATCCGAAAAGATGGTAGTCGGAGGGTGGCAGATCAAGGCTGTAGGAGGGGTGTGGAAGAACTTCCCACCCCATCTTTTTGCTGACCTTTCTGGTCTTTGGTCAATAACCGCGGGACCTAATGAGCACAAACCTTCCTATAGCCCAAGCTTTCAATTATCTCCTGTACTGCACTGTGCCCTATTCCAAGTTTTCGGGCTATTGTGTCCCACACACCTGTCATCTTGAATGATCTCATCCACTCTTTCCTTGTTGTGTTCAGTTGAGGCTGTTCGAGGATGACTGCTGCGAGGCGCATCTTCGATGCTGGTGTTCCCATCTTTAACTCTTTGACTGGCGCGAAGGGTATTTAAATCCCACCCCTGTCCTGGCAGGCCCTTTAAACATTATGTCGCTAAGATGCATGTGCTTACTTTTTTCTAAACAACTTCAACAAAAATTGGTTTTTAAAAATGAAATTTTCAGGAACTATTAAAAATACAATATTTTATGCAATAAATATCTTTCCATACCTTTTTAATAGTTTTTCTTCGCGTGATAAACATTGAAACATGAAAGTTTGCAGAGAGCCACACCACAGCTTGCACACATGACACTTGTTTCTTTTCTAATCTTATGCTTAGCACACACTCGACACTTTCTCATGGCACCATTCTTCTTATTGTTACTGGGAGGAACATGGACCATTTTGTGAACTTTCAAGCCACCCTCTAGACGATTTTCTGGGTCTTTCACTGGTG